CGCCGCCGCCGCCATTCGAGTCCCGATGCAAGGTGTCGATGCGTCCAGTCGGGCCAGAATGAAGAGATGTTTTTTGGGCGGGCATTTCACTGGCGTCGTCACGTCTTCTCGCGCGGTTGACTTGACTTTCCTGTTTGACATGCATTCACGCAATTCTGTATTGAACTCATAAATGACCGATAGTTGACCTTTTTCACAAACTGTTGAGTAGACCTTACGTTTCCAGTCCATTTTGACACAGCCCTACTTGCACAAAAGGTTTGTTCATCCAGCTTTGCAACGGGGTGAGCACACTTGAAGAGCTACTTACACACGAGAACAATGATCTACCAACCCTCGTCAGGCTACTTGGCTCTGGCAGACCACAAAAATGGACTGTCCTGCTGTCGGTCGAATGGGAATTGTGATAAAATCCCTTTTATAGCCGACACTTTAATCCCTTGGCGTTGTGACGTTCTATTTCGCTGGTAAATCAGTCTTTCCTTTGACGTGCAACCCTTAATGCAACCCTTGTGCGTATGTGTCGATGACTGCCCATCGACGCATAATGATTACCCTTTTTCCACTTTGCAACCGTATACTATTATAGGCTTTGCGACCAAGTGTGTCGCTGTTTATATCCTTATGCCACACACACACACACACACACACTTGCTCTTGGACGCCCGGCCAGACACATACACACGCTCCTGTATGTGTATATATATATATATATATGTGTGTGTGTGTGTGCATGTGCAGTCTATAATAGACTGTCTGAAAATGGGTTAGCCAAATGACCATGTGATGGTGCAAGTTGAGTCTGTAGCGGAACATGGCAACTTGAATTGCGATAGCCACTACAGGCCAATATCCTCTCGGAGCTCGTGGCGGGCTGGGTCGGGCAGGCCGCCCACCAGCTCCTCTGCCCATGTCGAGGGCAGGGAAGACTGGGGCCGCAGCCATTCTGTCTGCAGGGGTCAGACGGCGTTCATGAGTCTCGACCACATGATGAACCGACTTGGATGGGCCTACGGTCAAGCGGAAAGCTTGGCTGAATGGTCACTTGAAAATCCAGAATGAATATCGAGCAGTGTTTTGTGTTCTGAGATTGGGCTTTTGACGGCCTTTTTCTCGGATCTTCTGAAAAGCCTCAACTTCGCGAACTCCTCCCATTTGGGCTACCAGAGACTTGTTAGGGGCACATTCATTTAGAAGGAAAGTGCATGAAGAGGAGATTCGTTGGTCGATCTTTACAGATGAGGACGGATGAAACTCGTTCTACTGCAAGCCATTTGACCTTTGAGAAGTCTGATTTAGGAACCGTATTGCACAAATACACATGCTCATACAATCGAGCAAAAATAACAGGACCAGTATGAAAGAAAATTAACCAAACCACTCTATGTCGATCTATCTAGTTTTTAATTTTTAATTTTTAATTTTTTTCCTCGATTGAGTCTTCATAAGAAGTAAGATAGAGCCGGATTATGTTGTTGCTTTAGTGTTAACGTGAGACTCTTACAAGAATGACACCCAGCTCTGATGATGTCCAACAGTTGATGGACGAAAGCTCAGCTCTTTTTCACCCGAAACGAGGGAGCAAGTCTCGTGGACTGCGTCAACATGAATATCGTAGCAAAGCCAAACGGCTGCAGTACAACGAGATTCATCCGTCCTCATCTGGTGAGATCGACCATCGAATCTCTTCTCATGCACTTTCATTTATTCCCTAACAATGTTATCTCAGGAGATTCATCGAAACCAACTTTCTATTCGTATCTACCAGAGACTTGCATCGTTTACATATTGTTCGCATCACTTTGCCAGTTCGAGCTGGTCATGATTCTTTGACAGTATTGTCGTTCATCCTCATGAAAACGGTGCTTTAGCCTCGATTCAAGCCTATATTTTGATAAATTATGTTAGTTTCCATTCCTATCCAGGCAGATAAGGAGTGCCCCAGGTTGTCACCTGATAGGCGTTTCGCTGGAGATATTGCCTAACATAAAAATAATATGTGATTGCTTGTAAACTTGTCAATTTTCAGTAAATATCCAAAGCTTACAATGGTGAAGAAGTACGTATTATTTATTTTTATTCAACCGCTTCATAGGATATTTAACGAATTAACAATCCACTACTCAAATTAAAAAGTAGTAAGACATGTCTTTACTAACTTTATACTTTATACTTTTGTAATATTGAAATATAGACCAATCTGCTTTGGCTAAATGAATTTTTGGGATTTAATCTA